CCTCTGTTTCAGCTGCCAGCATGGAGTGTTGTCTCAAGGGTCACTACTGTGGTCAGCAGACAGCATTATATACAAAACAGCTTGTGCTTATGACGACACACTCCTTCCTACAGCACAAGCACAGTTAACCCAATTACATACACACACATATGTAATTCAGAGAATGCATGATAACTTATGGAACATTATTCTAACACTATGTAAAAGTATGTACTATGTGAATGCAAAACAGTCACAAAAACAGGTTAAACCAATAAACAATTAACTAATGTTGAATAAACCTTTACAAAAGTGGCATACAATACAATTTTAATTAAATAATAAACTCTTTATTTAATATCTATTTTGTGTGGGTGTTTTCCCCTCATCACAAACACGTTTCGGAATATTACTGTGTACTTTCTGCAGATGTATTTCTTACATTTCACACAAGAGTTACTTATTTTACTGTTGTCTTGGGAGGGACAGACCTGGGCATCTGTCACGTCTGGGGGAATGTCTGGTGTCTTGTCATGTCTTGATTACCTATTGTGTACACCTGGGGTTCCCCTCCCTCATGTGTTTAAATAGTCCTCGTTTCCCCTTGTCTTGTGCGAGTCGTTTTCGTCCTTTCGTCTGTTTTCGTCCGTCTTGTTTCGTCTATCTTTCGTCACCCCCACGTCAGTCCAGGTTTGCTTTTGCCACAGTCTTGTTGTTCTTTATTTTGTTACTTTGCCATTGTCATTGTTTTACCACAGCCTTGTCACAGTTTTGTAAATCTTTATTTTGTTACTTTGTCACAGTCTTGTTTACTTATTACTTTGTTACTTTGCTCATAGTTTGCCACAGCCGTGTTTTTGTATCATGTCTGGACTTCCACCTTTTTGTTACAATAAACCTTGTCATCCGTCATCTCCGCACCTGAGTCTTCCCTTCAAGAACCCACCCTACATGACAGCATCTGGGCTTTTCATTTTCTCTTCACCTGTCCACTGGATGCTGGTTGAGGGACCTGAGCTTGACCTGTTCAAAGATAGCTGCTGCTGGGGATCAAGCCGGCCTGACTCGAGTCTGGATCAAACCGGCAGTCTTGCTCTCACAGCTGTTAGTTGCTGTGATTCTTGAAACATATGTCTCCCCTCCAAGTTGCTCATTTCCAGTATCATCCTCTCTATTGGTGGGGATATGAAGGTCTGAAATGCTGATGGAATCAAACTACTCTTGTGAAGGCAAATCTTGTATAACCAGCAGTAATATGGATGTGGTGATGTAGACCCTCAGACCCAGATCCTTCACTCACACCTTGGTCTGGATCTCAGAGGTGGATTTTTTTGGATCTGAACAGTTACTTACCCACATTAATGTGGCCGGGTAAAAATGACCCGCAACATCATCTTTGCATACAAACTCTGCACAGACCCCCCACAACACATCAAAGTGACCAGATTTCACACACAAGTTCATGACCCCAGATGAGGAAAAGTCACCAAATTTCATGAAGACAAAAAAGGATAACCAGCCCCTTGATCAACACAAAAACTGAAATGGGTCCAATTGAGGGTTAACACATTGGCTACTATTTTAACACAATATTATGTATTGACTTTAATTCAGTGTTTGCAAGATTAATTTAACTATTTTCTAATTTTCAAACAGCTTAAACCAAGTACATATCGCTGCAGCGCTTTTTGATAGTGACGTAATCACGTAATCAAAATGGCAGTGACGTAATCAAAATCAAAATGGCCGATTGTCTTGGATGGGTGGAGTTTGGACGTCCAAAAGGGCCTGCAGGGGTATGTACTTGGCCCCTGGGCCTGTCTCCAGGGGGGGGGGGCGGTGGCCCGTGTCCGGGCAAGGAAACACTGGGTCCATTTGTCGAAATCATCATGGGGGGTCTTCTGGGATGCGCTTCGTCTTCGTTTTTTCATCACATCTTTCAACATCTTAAAAATAGGGAGAATGTAACATGTGTGTTTCAAAACTGTGACAATAAAACCAAAGTCTATCAGAACTTAAAAAGTCACAAATATAGAAAACATTTTTGCACAGCAAATGTCTTAAGCCTGATTTAATTTCAGTTGAAGACTCCTGTGCCAGTCTTGCCAGTGACATATCAGATGGAGAGAGCAGTGTGAATTAAGATTTAGCTTTGCAGAATAGTGATTCTGCAATCTTGGAGAAAGACATTGAACTTAACATTGCGTCAGTTCTTCTCAGTTAGAAAATATTCGCCTTGTGTCTAAAGCAGCTGTAGATTACCTTTTGCAGGATCTCAAATATTTGATTGGGACTCTTTCTCTACCTATCACTCAAAAAGCTATTAGCCAAATATTGGAGGTTCATGAATGCCATTTTGACCAGTCACTTGTTGAAAACCCTAGCCAGTGCACTCAGTGAGACAAACCCTATTAAAAAGGCAATTGGAGATAAAGGTCCACTTTCCACAGCTTGGAAACGAAAGGCATACTATAAAAGACACTCTATTATAGTTGAACCAGTGGAACATATCATTGACAAAAGGAATAAAAGGTCCTTCCAGTATGTTTCAATCTTAAAGTCTTTACAGCAAATTCTTGACTGCCAGACAAACTTAAATCAAGCTGTGAATTTTAAGGCTGATAAACAGTCACAGGGAACTTGTGTGCATGTATTCAAATTGTTCTGCCTACTTCAGAGAAAACAGATGGTTGTCCAATGGGGAAAATATTTCATTGATACTATACATTGAAGAATTTTAATTTTGTAATCCCCTTGGCACATCCTAGAGGAAGCATCAAATTTGTGTGGTTTGTATTGGATTCTGGGTAATTTACCACCAGGAAGCAACTCTTCTTTGTCTTCCATCTATTTGGCAGCTTTAATCAAAAGAGAATCAAATTGTGTATTGGCAAAACACCTGTCATATTTTGATGTTATCGCTGGGTTTCCTCCATACATTGTGCACAATCTTTTTGAGGGAATTGTTCCTTTTGAACTAGCTCTTTGCCTAAGTGTAATGATAAAAAATATATATATTTCACATAACTGGCACTGAATGAAGCAATATCGTCTTTTAGCTTTAAGTGGTCTGACAAAACTAATCAACCTTATCCAGTGCCTCTCTGTTTTGCATCTCAAAAAACTGTTGGGGAATTGCACATGAAAACTGGAGCCTTATTAGATATCTGCCATTGTTGATTGGGCGGAGAGTTCCCTGTGAGGATCCAACTTGGCAGATCTTAACAGATCTGAAAGACATTGTTGATCTTGATGTCTGTCCCAGGACTCATTGCATATCTGGATTTTAAGATCTGTGAGCAGAGAGGAGGATTTCAAGAATTTTTTCAAGACTGTAACCTCAAACCAAAGCACTCCTGGAGCATTATCCACACTTGATTCGACAGTATGGTCCACGAGTTGCCTATGGACAATGCGTTTTGAAGCAAAGCATAGCTTTGAGTTGCAAGGAATATCAGATGCTTCAAAAATATGCTCCATTCCCTTTCAGAGAAGCATCAGTATCATTTGCAGGCATGTAGCTTTACAAAACCTTCTTTGGAAGTGACAAATGTTTCCACTGTTCACATTCATGTTCTCAACAAGGATATCACAAATAATCTCAAACAAAAATCTTCACACACGGACAAGGTGTGCATGGCCAAAATTGTTAGATATAATGGAATAAGTTATAGGTGTTGGATGATCTTGATCCATGGCTCACTGAGAGGACTTCCAGAGTTTGCTGAAATTATTATTATACTGCACTGCAACATGGTTCTCATTGTGAAGAAGCTTAAGGGATGGTATATGTGATATTATCGAGTTTATGATCTCAAAACATCTCCTGGCAAGGAACTGGAACTTGTTGAACTACAAGAACTACAACATACATGTTGGGATCTGGGGAAGGCTGGCTGGGGTTCTTTCCCACTTCTTCCACCAGGGGGCTTCCTGGAGGTTCCTGGAGGGCGTGGTTTCGCGGCTGCACACTAGAGGCTGACATTTTTTCGGGAATCCCACGGGTCACGGGATTCCCGCGGGATTCCTGCGGGATGGGAGTCATCTTCGCTATTAATCACGGGATTGGGACGGTACAGGATGAATGGTTAACGGGAGTAGACGGGAGCGGGAATCAACCAATAGCAAAGACGAAAAAAAAAATAAAAAAGTAAATCCACCATTTTGTAGTTTCCTTTTAATATCCATTCAATGTAACGCAATTAAAAAATAACTACATGACCCAGTGGTCCCAGAAGCCATCGGTGCTTTTTGTCACGGCTTACCGCCAGAATTCAAATAGCAGTGATGGAGGGAGCTAACAGCCGCGGAGACGTCGATGCAGCAAAAAATGATTTACAGCGGAAAGTAAGATGTAACGACATTTCCATTAAGTTCACAGAACTGGTCGGAAAGTCTGACATATTATTTAAGTTTAAAAGAGTGGAATGTGACGGTGTTAGCACAGTGTACGCTGCTTGTAAGACTTGTTCAGTGTTGGTCAAGTACGCGAGTGATTCGGGGACGAGCGGTCTGAAGAGGCACACTTGCAAGGCAGATTCGGGAAAGAATCAGCCAAGCATCGCTTCGTTCATCAAGCGAATATTGCCGTCGGGTGTCAAGTCTCGTCTGACCGACAAAATTGCTTGCATGTGCAGCCAAGATCTCAGACCCTTTGCTATATATAAAAATATATATATAAAAAATATACGGGAGCGGTACAGGAGCGGGAGTCAGTTTAAACGGGAGCGGGATGGGAGTCAATTTACCAGGAGCGGGATGGGATGGGATTATTTTTTAAACTTTGGTCTGGGAGTGGGACGGGACAAGATTTCTTTCTATGGGAGTGGGACGGGACAGGAGTGAAAATCCACTCCCGTGTCATCCTCTACTGCACACCTGACGCATATCTGTCTTATTTGGAGGAGTATATCTGGGTGGAGCTGCCGGCACGCCAGTGCCAGAGTGTTTGCCAGTTTTGGTTGCTCCTCGGTGACGCCTTGGCCGCCTGACCCGAGTGACTTGCCGGAAGGTTTTTTCACCCTGGATTCCTGTTCCTCCGCTGACCAGTCTACTCCCCTCCTTCCCTGAGCCCCGGCCTCGCGGACCCTCCAGTCCCAGACCTCCAGCCGAGCTTTCCCCTGTGAATCTTCAAAGATCCAGAGATCCAGCCTTTGTCAGAGAGAAGGAAAGATAAGAGACCTCTCACCTAGTGATGGCGAGATGAAGCTTCATAAAGCTTTGAAGCGTTCCATCCAATTGGTTCACTCGTGTGTTGAAGCTTCAGGGTGCTTCATTTGCTCTGTTCTGCCCCCTGGTGGACAATAAATGTTAACCGTACAGCGTGGGGATCGGTGGTTAGCATAATGGACGGGTCGATGTTTGTGATGCTTATACATGAATTATAAACTTTTAGATGATCTCTGTCTTTATGATACAATGACAGGGAAGCTTGAATAGATCGTTCACAAACTCGTAATTAAGTCCCAAGTCCACAAAATGTGAGTGGGGGATTCATTGCGTTTTGCTGGCCCTTATTTTTCAAATAGATCGCCAAACCGCGAACCACTTCCTGAATCAGTCACGTGATCCGGCCGGTTCGCGAGGCTTCAAACGTCACCGCATACGTCACCGACACAAGCCTCGATACGCGCTTCACAGAAATCATCCGGGATTTCTCGACACGCGCTTCGAAGCCTCGATACGAAGGGACACATCACTACTCTCACCATCTCCTGTCCATATCTGCACGTTGTTTTCTAATAGATTTCCCTAACCTGATCTGCCTCCGGAGTGTGTTCTGCACATGTGGGTTCAGAGATTTGATCACACCATGACAATACATACCCACTTGCAAACTACAAAATTGGTGGAATGTCCCTTGTCACACTGAAAAGATATATTTGTATTTAAAGGGTGAGGCCTATGAAGGTCACATTATCAAGTGGGAAAACAAATACTACACTTAAACTGTGATTTTGTGCTCTCAAAACATTATTCCATACTGTTTGATTTCTAAATTTAAATTATCTTGTTGATTTAATTAAAATTTAATTTTGAAATTACCAAACATTATTTAACCACTAATTTGGCATGGTAGTAAACTAATATTTTCTTTGTTGTTATAGTGGTTACTTCTTAACTGCAAAAAATCAATTTTTTTGTTTGTCTCTTTAAAGCAGTTGTCAGATTTGTTGTGGAAAGCCTAGTCATGAGGTTCTATGTATTTATCCAGGATATCCACTGCAGTTATCATTTATAATTATTTAAAACAGCAACAATCATACTTAATTTTCTTTATCGCTCTCACATTTGCACTTGCTCACTCACTCACTCAGTCTCTCTGTGTCTCAAACTTAAAGTAATGCTTACTCACCGATTCACTAAGTTACTGTATTTGGACTGATTTGAAGTGGGAATGTGACAACAGATCAGCAGTGGTCACTTCGCCTGTTTCAAATTTTATTCCAATTCTAGGTGTAAGTGGGCATGTTGTACACTTGTAATTGGCTCACTCAAGATATGTCTAACTGTCCCTGTACTGTTTCTTCTCACACTGCCATGTGTTGCTCTGGTAACTCTGAGTACGTTGCGAGCCATGGCTGGTTCCACACCTGTAAGACTAAAGGTAATTTTGGGAGAGAGCAACACTGATAAACTGACTCTTCCAAAGGGCACACCAGAGTCTCTGGATGACTTTATCTACAAGATAAAAACTGACTTTTGGCTAAAGGGAAACATCAGACTGCAATACATGTAAAAATATGTTGGCAATGACTTCTTCAATCTGAATTCTGCCACTGAATTTCAGGATTTAGGTACTGTCAAGTTGATCCACCAGCAAACAAATCCAGCTTTGAATATCATCACTGACACCTCATCATCTTTGTCATTCGAGTCTGATGATTGTGCTTCCTTTGCGTCAAATGATACCACAATCCTCTCATTCCCTGAATCTGTGTCATCTCAAATTGAACAAAACACAACTTTCCAATTCCCTGATTTTCATACGAGCTTCAACTAGAAAAAAGGTAACTCTGACTACCTTGCAAGCCAGAAAATGTTGACCATCAGCTCCCGAATGAAGTCTGACATCCTGAGTAAGCTTGCAGACAAATTTACTGAAATGAGGCCTACCCAGAGGATGCACATTTCTGCATGGATGCTGAGGCCCTAATCAAGAAGAACCCTTGTTTGAAAGAACCTGGCTCATTCAGTGGATGCTATGGTTGGAAACAGCAACTGAAGTACAAAATGGGAAACTATAGGACTGAGCTACAGGTACAGGGTTGTCCTGTGCAGTTTAATCCCTGAAACACAAAGTTACTCTTGTGCGCGTGCGCGAAAGCTGCAGGCTGCCTGTTACGTCGCTCCAACTTTTATGTTCGCTTTTTTTATAACTTTCTTACTTTTTCGTCTTTCTGTTTGCTCCGTGGCCTCACGGTAACTCAGTGAGGTTCTGTCCTCTCTAACGAGGTATTTTTCAGCAAGTGACAAGCTCCAAATCGTACTTTTTTTTAAAAAACAATGCCGCCTACAACGGGACACGCTGCCATTGTTTACTCCGGGGAACAGCTGATCGCACTGAAGCCGGCCGGCGCCGCGACCAGACCAGCTGATATACCACCAGAACTACGGAGGAAAACTCGCCGAGGTTGCAGAGGAGGAAAAAACTATCGGGGGATGAAAGGAGGGTCGAGACAGCAAGGGCTTATTGAGAGGAGAAGATTTAAGCATTGTCTCCCCTCTGTTATTATGGGCAACGTTCGGTCTCTTGGCAACAAGATGGACGAGCTAACGGCTCTGACGCGGGGCCACCCAGAGTTCCGAGAGTGCAGTTTGATGTGCTTCACGGAGACGTGGCTGCACAGGGACATAACGGACCAGACTGTCTCCGTGGATGGCTTCCACACCATCCGGGCTGACCGGGATCCTAAGAGTGGCAAGTGGAAAGGAGGGGGACTGGCCATTCTAGTGAACAGCAGATGGTGTTACCCGGGTCATATAACTGTTAAGGAACAGCTCTGTAGCCCGGATGTAGAACTGCTTGCCGTTGGACTCCGTCCATACCATCTGCCCAGAGAGATCCCTCATGTCATCATTGCTGTCCTGTACATCCCTCCCTCTGCAAACCCAACATCTGCCTGCAGCATCATACACACCTCCATCTCCAAACTACAGACGCAACACCCCAATGCCCTCATCATCATGTCGGGAGACTTCAACCACGTCACCATAAACAGAGTTCTCCCGACCTTCAAGCAATATGTGAGCTGTCCAACCAGAGAGGAGAGGACCCTGGATCTGATGTATGCTAACATTAAGGACGCATACATCTCCTCTTCTCTCCCCCCTCTGGGCAGGTCTGATCACAACATTGTCCACCTCACACCTTGCTATGTGCCTCTTGTGAAGAGGGTGCCAACGACCACAAGGACTGTGAGGAGGTGGTCGGAGGAGGCTTATGAGACACTGCAGGCCTGCTTTGAGTTGACAGACTGGACTGCACTTTGTGAGCCCCATGGGGAGGATATCGATCGGCTCACAGAGTGCGTCACGGACTATATCAACTTCTGTGTTGACTGCAATGTCCCAGCTCGGACCGTCACCTGCTATGCCAACAACAAACCATGGATCACTAAGAACATCAAGGCCATCCTTAATGAAAAGAAGAGGGCTTTCAGAGATGGCAACCGTGACGAGGTGAGGAGAGTACAGGGGGTACTCAAACAAAAAATTAAGGAGGCCAAGAACAAGTACAGGAGAAAGCTGGAGAATAAACTCCAGCATAACAACATGAGGGAGGTGTGGGGTGGCATGAGAACCATCACCGGGTTCCAGAAGACCGGCAACATGGGGTTGGATGGCCGAGTGGAACGAGCCAACGAATTGAACCTATTTTTCAATAGGTTTGATACTGAGGCCCATCCCCCACAAGCCTCTGCTGATGGTATCCCAACGACGACCACTCCACCTGATGCCGATGGTTTCCCAACGACGACCACTCCACCTTCCCCCACTCCTCCTCCTTTCAGACGCCCTGTCTTCTCCTTACCACCTCATTCCACACCCACCTACTCCACCCTTCCCCCCTGCTCTGCATCGTGTCCTCCACAACCTGAGGACTTATCCCCTCCCACAACTGTCACCTCTTCAGTGTCCCTCACACCTGACCTGGTTCGAAGACAACTGACCAGACTCCACACCGGCAAAGCTGCAGGCCCCGATGGTGTATTTCCTGGGGTGCTTAAAGCTTGTGCCGCCCAGCTGTGTGGAGTCCTTGGTCTGGTCTTCAGCCTGAGCCTGCGCCTCCAGAGAGTCCCCGTGCTGTGGAAGACGTCCTGCCTCGTTCCTGTACCTAAGACGCCGCGTCCTAACGGCCCTCAGGACTACAGACCGGTGGCACTGACGTCCCACATCATGAAGACCTTCGAGAGGCTAGTTCTGGAGCAGCTAAGGCCTATGGTCAGGCCCTTCATGGATCCACTACAGTTCGCCTACCAGCCCCGCCTAGGAGTTGAGGACAGCATCATCTACCTGCTGAACAGAGTCTACACTCATCTGGACAAGCCGGTGAGCACTGTGAGGATCATGTTCTTTGATTTCTCCAGTGCTTTCAACACCATCCGTCCGGCTCTACTGGGTGAGAAGATGACGGCGATGCAGGTGGATGCCCCCATCGTGTCCTGGATTGTTGACTATCTGACGGGCAGACCACAGTATGTACGCCTACAGAACTGTGTGTCTGACAGGGTGATCAGCAACACCGGGGCCCCTCAGGGGACTGTCCTCTCTCCATTCCTCTTCACCGTCTTCACCTCAGACTTCAGCCATTGCTCTGCCATCTTCAGAAATTCTCTGATGACTCAGCAATAGTTGGCTGCATTGAAAGGGGAGATGAAGGTGAATATAGGACTGTGGTGGACAACTTTGTCACTTGGAGTAAACTTAACCATCTGCAGCTCAATGTGACAAAGACAAAGGAGCTGATAGTGGATCTGAGGAGGGCCAAAACACCTGTGACCCCTGTTTCCATCCAGGGGGTCCCTGTAGACACTGTAGAGGAGTATAAGTACCTGGGGGTGTACTTAAATAATAAACTGGACTGGACAAGAAACACCGAGGCAGTCTACAAAAAGGGCCAAAGCCGACTCTTCTTCCTGAGGAGGCTGAGGTCGTTTAACATCTGTCAGACGATGCTGAGGATGTTTTATGAGTCTGTTGTGGCCAGTGCGATCTTCTTTGCTGTCACATGCTGGGGCAGTGGGCTGAGGATCGCAGACAGCAACAGACTTAATAAACTGATCAGGAAGGCGGGTGATGTTGTAGGGGAGGAGCTGGACACTCTGTCGACCGTGGCAGAGAGGAGGATGCTGTCCAGGCTTAAGTCCATCATGGACAATGTGTCTCACCCCCTCTACGACACACTGGCCCAACAGAGGAGCTCCTTCAGCAGAAGACTCCTCTCACCCAAATGCACCACAGAGCGCCACCGGAAATCCTTCTTGCCGGTGGTCATCAATCTGTACAACGCTTCCCTCTGAGAGTCAATCTTAATCATTGACACTATCCACCTCTCATTTTGTATATATCTAGCTATATTTATGAGGAATTTTGTATATATATATGTATATATGTATAGACATGTACATATGTATATGCCTTTGTTTTATTTTGCTTATGGAGCCTGTAACAAAAATAATTTCCCTCTGGGATTATTAAAGTATTTCTGATTCTGATTCTGATTCTGATTATTACAGATGCCTTCTCTGCTAAAAAAGTAAAGAGGCCAAAACAAGCTGAAGCCAACTTTTGTCCCTCTTTACCTGTTGGTGAGACTCTGGAAAGCCAAGAAAAAGAGAGGCTTGAACTTCTGACAGAGATGGGGATATGGAACAACAATAAGGTCATTGCAGACAAAATGGCTCATACATTTGCCCTCAGGCGACAGGAGGTGGTAAACAAAAAACCCAGTATCAAGGACTTCAAGAACCAATGGCCTGCACTATTACAACAGAAAGAGGTAAGAGTATTACTAAAGTGATCAAATTGGATTTATTACATTGAGTTTTTATGAAATCCTATGAGTTTTAACATTCATTCTGTAATCTTGTGTTGTGCCATTTAAGGCTTATTTAGGTGAAGACATTGGTATTATAATTGAGGGAGTGGAGGTGTTAAGTAGACTGACCTCAGTCGCCTTAGCATGTGCCCTGCTTCTAGGTCTGATACATGTTCTGAAACTAGTTTACCCAAATTCTCTTCGTTTCACTTTTGAAGCGCTCCAGAAAATCATCATGCAGTTTGAGCCGCACAAGATGTCCCCTAAAGTCCAAAATCTTTACAGCAGGCTTCAAAGCTCACAGTGACACTGCAGTGTAGAGAAAAATGTATCTTTTGTAATGTTCTGATGTTTCTGATGACTTTTTGTATGAAAATGAGATTATAAAGTTCACTTCACTTTCAATTTAAAGTTGAAATAATTGAATTGCAATTGAAGCATTTTTTTTAAGTAGACCCAATAGTTTAATTGTTACAGTGTAGGCTGATTGTTGCGTACTTTACGTGTTATGGTTCAATATCAAGATTAAACTTTCTGAGCAAGTTCCTTCCCTTTTTAGTTAACCCTATAAAATCAGATTTAAACTGAGAATCAGAACTCAAACCCCATAGTTTTGTTTAATTTAAAATATAGTGTGTACAAGCATCACGTATATTCCAGAGCATATCAAAAAGCTCAGTAGCCTGGAACGCCTCAAATTTAGCCGAGATTTTCCCCTCACACCTGTTCTTGTGCAACAAGTTGCACCCCCTGGATCTCTCCAACAACCGTTTTATCGCTCCAGAAATTGGAGTCCTTCAGAGTCTACAAATACCTGCAAATACTTGTAACAAAATAGAAAACCTTCCAGATGAACTGTTCTTTAGCAAAAAGTTAAAAACATTTAAGCTGTCCATGGGCGGCACGGTGGTGTGGTGGTCAGCACTGTCGCCTCCCAGCAAGAGGGATCTGGGTTCGAATCCCGGGGGAACCAGGACCTTTCTGGGTGGAGTTTGCATGTTCTCCCTGTTCTCCCTCTCTCTGGGTTCTCCGGCTTCATCCCACAGTCCAAAAACCTGCATGTTAGGTTGATTGGAGATTGGGGAAAATGCCCTTAGGAGTGAATGTGAGTGTGAGTGGTTGTTTGTCCTGTGTGTGGCCCTGCGATGGACTGGCAGACTCTCGCCCGTTGACCACTGGGATAGGCTCCAGTTCCCCCCGCGACCCCATCAGGGAATAAGTGGTATTGATAATGGATGGATGGAAGCTGTCCATGCTCTCACCTGGCTCTGCTGACCTACCTGGAGCTAAAACGCAACCATTTTGAGCTCCCACGGAAGAGTGGGTGCTGCCGTGCTTTAAAGCGCAGTGGCCTTATTGTGTGAGACACTGTTTGAAACTCTGCCATCAGATGTCAGGGACCAAATGAAGGCCGATTAAAATGCCTAGCTTCAGCCACAGTGCCTATGGTTTGTTCAGTATGTCAATTCAAATAATTTGTTTTAAATTAAGGTATTTTCAAATCTAAAGGATTTGTTCAATTACAATTTTCTTTATGTAAAAAGTGGCATTTCATTTAATTGCATCTATGCTGGCAACGGAATACTGTCTTATTCAGCCTCAAATACATTGTAAAGGAAGTAGTTTTAGGAAAATATGCACCTGTGCTCATATGCTAAAAGCTTCAGGAGAAGATCCACATTTATTGTATACCTGTATATCAAACATTTATCATTCACCACTGGATGGTGCAATTTTTTCTAAACTCAAAAGAAAAAGTAAATATGTCTCTTGAGTTGCTTCTTATCACTGTTTTGTAAAGTTCAAACAAAGTAACCATTAAACCACTGTACTTTCTCCATTTTACTTTTGACAATCTTATTGCCTTTTTTTTTTACAATGGTCATCAACTTAATTTGTTCATCATGCTTAAATGAAGAAAGGTTTTCTGCTGCCGAAGGAGAATGATGCCACATGGGGACAGATTTCTCAACATAAAACAATGGTGTTTATGATGCTTTTTTTGTTTTACAATAAATAAAATCCAAAATGTTTCAGTATTTGAGTACATTTATTGATGTAATTAGGTCATGCCACACTACTACACAATATCTGAGCAAGTTTTGACTTAATTTGTACAGTTACATGGGGGACACAGATTGTAGCAGTAGCAGTCATTGATTTCACAACCATAAATGACCATAATATGTTATTTTTGCAGCAGAGAACTATCGTTATAAACTCAACATATCTCATTATGGTGAGTACCCTGCTGAAAAATAAATGTGCTACTATATTTACTATATGTACTAAATGTGTACTAAAATTTAGCATACTTTTGGGTACTTGAAGGCACTTGAAGTGTGTTTATGATTACTTAACTTGAAGCATGCTATTTTGGAACTAATTTTATACTAAATATATTTAATTGTAATTTAATTGTGGAAAAGCTCAACTTGAAGTGTACTTAGTGTACTTTGATGTGCTAAAGTGGAACAACTTTAAGTATATTTAGTATACTTTAATTATATGAGTTTAAATGAAGTAATATGTGCTTACATAGTCAAATTAAAGTATACTATGGTTGTATTATAACTACAATAAAAATGATTTGTTAGTGTCTTAAAAATATATAAGCTTTATACTTTTAATAAATTCTTAGTATGGCAATAATATGCTTATTTATACTGTTGGCTTATTCCAAATACTAAAAAAGCATACCTTGCAGTTAATAGTCAATATACTTTAGCATTACTTTGCTCTACTACTTTCTACCTTGCACATTCTTGCAAATGTATTACCAGTATACTAAAGGCTGAAAGACTTGTGGGACTACATCCAGGCAGGTGAAAAAATATACTTTAATGTATGTGACCCATGTACATTACAAACAATACAACAACTTTTACTATTTCAGAATATATAAACATTTACATATAGATTTGAACCAAATAAAACTTACCAAACACTTTCAAATTCTTATAGGTCAATTTCTGGCAACAGACCTAAACATTACACATACACGTTAAAGAACACAAGAATACTGAACAATGAAAAACTAAATTCCTAATTATATACCTCTAACCCCTCGCACCATACAGAAACATGCACACACACTACATATTATGTTGCTTTCTTTGGCTGAACTGCTCATTATTGCACTTTCGCCTGATGGCCGTTCGCACATCAGAGACGCTTGTTTGTGGAAACTCTTGAAGAACAGCGTCTGAAGAATGGACAAGAGATACTGTAAGTCGCACAGCATATTCATAGTATTTTTTAACAGTACATCAGGAAAGTCTGAGCAATTGGATCAGTATGATATACCAATATTGCTACCAGTGCAAAATCCAACATGTATATAATAATTACTGGTTGTCTCTTTCTGCGTGATATAGCTGCTATAAAAATCACAGAAACATTTAAATATGTAATATGTAACTCAAGACAATTCCATACCTGTAATAGCCTGAACTTTGGCAACATCAAGTTGTCTTTTTGGCGGTCCACCCCTCCCAGACTTTCCAGTGAGGGTGGACTGTGCAAGGCACTCCTTCGTGAATACCAGCACAGCCAGCTCCTGGGCAAAAATTTACATGCAGGATTTATTCAGCCTCATGAAGGACCTCCTTGGAACTGCCACTGTGCTGCCAGCCAATGGGTGCTGCATATGGGAGAGAAAGAGAGGAAAAATTAGACGGATTATCTCTATGAGGAATTACCAATAATGTTCTTAATTCAATCTTTGCTTGGAAACACCACTAGTACTTTTTTGTTGCTCACAAACTTTTGGTCCAGTCTGAAACATAATGTATATGTGAATTTTAAACATTGTAGTTTCTGCATTTATTGGCAAAATAAAATTAATACAGTGCTATTGAGAGGAAATGTGAATATTTACTTTGCAAGTCGATTTAAAGTGTGCACCCCTCAAATTTCTGCTTGCACCCCTACAATTTTAAGTTAGCTGCCACTGTTCTCTCAGTAAAAAAAGTTAGTTTGGAGCCCTGTAAAACAATAGGGAGTGCTATGATCAGAGGTGTTGAGGTTCCAAATGGCAGCAAGATAATTCATTTGGCTGATTTGTGAAACATTTAACCTGTTAAATCCAATCACTATATTGCTGACCTAATTACCAACACAGTGTCACAGCCCCGGCTGTGGCTCCTGGTCCAGCTTAAATTTTTGTTCGGTCCTGGTTTTTTCTCCTGCCTGTAGTTTCCTTTTTGCGCACCTGTTCCCTATGTTGTTAATTTCCTCTATGTGTTATATACTGAAATGTTTCAGGACTTGGTGCCGGAGTATTGATTTGCCTGCCGTACCTCTGGTCTGAGGAATTTGTTTTTTCTGCTCTGGACTGTTTACGTTTGTGTCTTAATAAAGACCTTCTGACTGCGAGAACTAGCAAGCCTCCATCGTGTCTGTCTCCGCCTTGGGGTCTTCTCCTCACCGTCCCGTGACAGAATACTCCGGCCACGATGGACCCCGCGGAGACAAGTCCGACCCGCCAGGCGTTGGCGGGTCGGCTGCTGGGGCAGCACGCAACTGATTTGAAAGACATTAAGGGCGCGTTGGAGGAGCTCAGTGCCAACGTGATCTCCCTCTAACAGAGGTTGGCGCAGGCCTTTTCGTCTCCTCCCGATCCTGCCACCCCACCTGCGTCTCCTTCTGCGCCGCCCGTTGTTCCTGCTGCGTCTTCCGCCCCCCACC